CTGGTAAAAGTTCAAGCTGCCCATTCCTGTGTGTTGCTCTCTCCTTTTGGGGAGAACCAGGTGAAACCTGTCCTCAAACACCCCCAGATCCTAGTGAATGGCCAAGATCATCTCTTTCCTTTCTCAGATCTAATGATAGAAGTTTTGAAACTCTCTTCCCTCAAGGAGACCTCTTAGATTACCTGGGTGGTCTTGCCTTTTACTCCCATACCCAATATTTCAGACTTCTTAGATATCCACAGGGTTTCTTTCATCCTTATGTCACTACTGTACTCTTCCTGGAGTCACTGAGCTGTCACCTGTAACCCCTCCTTTCCTGCCTTACTGTCCTTCAGCTTTCCCACAGACCCAATGTGATGGTCTTGTATAAAGGGCCACTCCTTGTCATTTTGCTCATATTCTATTATCTTAAGGGACCAACTCCTCACCTAGACGGGTATGATCTTTGCCCAGGCTGGGCTTGAGACTCACACACACCATACTATCTAGGGCATCCCTGCTTTCCTATTCTAACTTACAAATGACTGCAAGTCCAGAACCACATGGCCTTCCCTCAGCACTGCCTCCCATTCCTTCCTTCTCCACTCCCTCACTCCAGCCAGAAATAAAACAGCTGTCTTTGTCCAACTCAGAGGTCTCAACCTGTCTCCTGACTGGAACAACTCCTAGCAGCTCCTCACAGCCCTTTTTGTGTTTAATTCTGCTTTGTCTTTTTGGCCACTGCTTACTCAACCTCCTGGTAAATCAATGTCTTTCTGACTTCAGGTCTCAGCTGCAGATGGTCCTGCCTCAGGGCAACAGCCATGGCATCGCTGATACCACCTCCCACCATCCAGGACCTCCTGATCTAGTGTCATGGTGTGACCTCTGGTCTCCTTCAACAGTAGCTCCACCTCTCTTGATGTCCTGTGGTCTCATGAATGCATGACAAATCAGCATTGCCAGCAGGGCCTCTCAGGCCTGAAGCAGTTCCAGAAGATGGCCTTCATCTTTTGTGAGCCTTGTGTGTAGGGGTGTTCTATGATGGATAGTTGCACAGGGCTGGGCTCAAACAAGGCTGCTATTGTCTTTGAGCAGGACCAGAAAGGGTTAACTTTTGAGGCTGGAAGATCACAACACTGGTAAAATGCTTGCCATGAAATTCAGAGACCCTGAGTTTGCTCCCCAGCACCCATATAAAGCCAGATGCAGCAGGGTACACCTGCGACTCCAGCTCTCCCACGGAAAGATAAGAGGTGGAGGCAGAGCTGGAGAGACGGCTCAGAAGTTAAGCACACTGACTGTTCTTCCAGAGGTCCTGAGTTCAATTCCACATGGTGGCTCACAAACATCTATAATGAGATCTGGTGCCTTCTTCTAGCATGTAGGCATACATGCATATAGGACATTGTATACATAATAAATAAATCTTAAAAAAAAAAAAAGAGGTGGAGACAGGAGTCTATTTATACAGACTCATGGGCCTGGTTTACACAGTTAAAAAAAGAAACAAGACACTGTCTCAAATACAATGAATGAAGCTGAGGACCAACAGCAACTGTATCCTCTGACCTCTACACATAGATAGAAAAATACAACTAAGTTCTAAAAGAGAAAGAATTCAGTTTAATGAGGAATGGCTATAGTCTGTCTTAGGGTCTCAGATACCATTGTAGAGAATTGTTTAAAATGAGCAGGCTCAGGCAATCTACTCTGACCCCTAGCAACTCATGACATCTTACAGAGATATAGTCCCAAGTAGAAATAACTTAAACTGTAAAATGTATCCCACAATAAAGGAATGATTGTCCACCTGAGCACCTGGACATGAACCCACACAAGTGTCCCATTCCATGACACCTAAACAACCAGAGCACAGTGGTGTGAAAATGCTTCCCACTGCTGCTCTCTACTGTCTACATTGTAGCAATAGATTCTTCATTGCCTCTGGTAACCCCCCTACACACACACACACACACACACACACACACACACACACACACACACACGGCTTTAGGTGGCTCAGGCTGGCCTTGAACTCCTGGTCCTCCTGCCTCAACCTCCTGGGTGCTGGAATCACAGGCATGTGCCACCATGCCTGGCTTTGGTAAATTCTTTCACCACGAATTTCCTGACAGGACAGTGCTTGTGAAATGTGTGCTAGGGTCACAGAAGACAACTGCGGCTGGGGTGACAGATCTGTGGGTGTGCAGAAGGCGAGGCTGGAACGTCAACTGTGCCCAGTCATTTTAAAACAAGACTGCCTCTTGCTTTTACTGTGCACATCAAGGTGGCAGTGGATGGCATGTCTGCTACTAAGCTGACACAGAACAGAAGAGCAGTGAATGTTATATCGAGACAAACAACCCTAGTGGTTCAGGCCCGTGTCCCAACAGCTGCCTAGGCTACACATGTGGCCATCATCTCAAACGAAAAAGAAAAAGGAGGCTGGGGAAGAGGTGCCCTGCTTTGCCTGGTGTGTATAAGACCTTTGGTTGAAGTCCCAGCACCAGGAAAAAAGAAAACTAAACAAGCTGGTTCACACCTCTAACCCCTGAACTTAGGTGGGAACCAGGTATTGGATTCACAGGCAGAGGAAAATACATCATGCCTAGCCTTGTCTATGTGTTGAGTTCCAGAAAAGCCAAGACTACAAAGAGAGACCCTGTCTCAAAAACCACTACCACCACCAATAACAACAACAAAAAGCCCACCAACCAAGCAAGCAAACAAAACAACCAGAACAAACCTTAAACCCCAAACCCAAACATCAGAATGACTGCTTGCTTTTTATACCCGCCCCCATAAAATCAACCCCAAGACTGTGTTTGTCAGTGTTCATGCTTGATTGCTCTGTGTGCAGGATGGCCACCATTTGACATATGCTTCACGGATGGGCCTCTCTGACAGCTGAGAGTGCTCTCCCATAATGAACCAAAAAAGTTACCAAGACCTAAAATGGGGGAGGGCTCTTCCCTCTTCTGACCTCCAGTGGGTATGATAAACCCTTCCAGCCACTTCAGTGAACATGGGCATCCCTCAGAACTGAGAGGCGACTCCTGCTGGAGGTTCAGTCACTTAACCTGCTCAACAAGGAATGTAGTTCCACTTTACCATCATCTCCCAAGCAGCAGCGGCCAGCTGAATGAGATGGCGACTTCAAAGTTACAGCGCCACCTGGTGGCCTGGCTGGCAGGTGACAGGGTAAACAGCCAGGGATTGGGAGTAGATAGATGTATGGAGGAGTGGGTTCCTCTTTGGGCCATTGCAATCTCTCAACTGCGACATTCCAGACAAGGCCCTGAACCTCCTAGAAAGGCTTTGCTTTCACCACCTTGTGTCAGATGTTTCTCACTCGTCTAGGAATTCAATACAGTGAGAGAGGTAGCTACTCCACTATCAGGAGCTAGCTACTCAGCAAGGTTCACCTGAGCCATAAACAAATTCGTAGCAAAACTGCAGCTAATGTGTGGGTCATGTGCTCATCACAGTCTCCATTTCTGAGGCAAACAGACTCTCTGAGGTAAGGGTGCAGGCCTCGGAACCGGAAAGCAGCTGCCTGAGGCACTGTGCTTTCTCACCAAGCTTGTGGAAACATTCCTAAGAATACTAAATGCTAAAACTACCTTGGGTAACAATGGTCTCTGATCACTTAGACCAGGCATAAATATCTATGGTGAACTGGTCTCTGTGGCAGCCACAGATTCCTATACAAAGTGACCATGAGCTAAAGGTTAACTGTCTGACTATTTAGCTGTTGTCTTTCCACTTTGGTAAACAACTCTTGGGTGCTGCAGGGTACAGAGCTGCCTTTCTGTATACGTCATGACTTTATTTATTGCCTTTAAAAACTCAAAAAACAAAACTGGAGGTTGAGGTTGCTTCTGGCTTGTTGCTCTGCTGGGAACAGTCCTACTTGTAAAGATTCCATTAGACTTATTCAGGCACCTCAAGAGCTTTACTCTTCAGATTCTCCACAACAAAAATCAGCCAGCCAGCTGCAGTCTGCATTTGGCAAATTTCCTCTCTTTAAGCTTAAAAAATAAAGCATGCAAGCCTGCTTTACTCCTGTGAAGCAGAATTAAAGAAATGGATTTTTTTTTTTTTCCTGGACGAAGAAGAGGCCAAGCTGGAGATGAGAAAAGGGGCAATCAGGGTTGGTGCTGCTCACATTCTCCAGTGCTCAGAAGGCAATCCCTCAGGGGCCAACCTTCTCTCCACTTCTATCAAGAGGCTGCTCTCTATGGAGCAGCTCCTGCTGTCACTGCCAAAGCAACACCTTCATGTTGTTTTCAGAACTGTCTGGGATTTGATAGCGTTCATCTAGAAGTACAATATCTAGAGGAGGTCACCTGGCTAGGGGAGCAGGGGCTGGCAAACAGACGAAGTCTTTGATAGAGAACACCTGAACATTGATCTCAGCAGGGTACACTGATGGCCATGGCCTCCGTTTAGGTTAGACTGGCTTGTTTGTTTGAGACTCTTAGGCCTGGACTAGACTGGCCTTGAGGTGAACCCCATGCTCCTGAGTGCTGGGATTACAAGAGTGCACTGTAATTCCTCAGCTTTCTAGGTGGCCAGGTTGTTTCTGGGCAGGCTATCTGCACAAAGTGGGGAAAGGCAGGGTCATTGCACCATGAAGCCATTCGTTACCACTGATTAGAGATGTTTTGTTGTTGTTATTTTGAGAAAGGGCCTCTCTAATGTAGCTCTGGCTGGCCTGGAACTCTATTTGTAGACCAGGCTGAGTGTGAGCTCACAGAGTCCTGACTGCCTCTGCCTCCAGAGTGCTGGATTAAAGGCTGCACCACCAGCTTTAAATTAGATTTTTTTCTTTTTCTTTTTTTGTTACAGAAATTTGTTGAAGACTGGGGAAAACTGGTCCCCAGGGTGTTTCTGTACTTCAGAAGCATGCATTAAGGACCACGAATCTGTTCATGACACAGGAACTGCAGATACCAAGTTTCACTTCTGTTGTCAGTTGGTCATCCCAGCTGATCACGAAACAGACAGCACCGATATTTTGTGGCAAATCACAAAGGTTGCTATTGTTTTAATTCCACACAAAGAGAAACAAACTAAGCTGGGGTACAGTGGGAGGGTTGAACAAACTTCTTGGAGCTGGGATCTGACTCCGGAACAAGGCTGTGCTACAGGCAAATAGCCTTCAAAGAAACAAAGCAATCACTAATCCTGAAAGATAGGAAATGCAAAGAAAAATTGCAAGCAGGGTGGCTGGGTGTGTTGCCACATACCTGTAATCTCAGCACTTGGGATGCTGAGCAAGACTGTGTTTGAGGCCAGCCTGAAGACCCCAACAAAAACAAAACCCACCAACAGTCACACACTAAACACCAACCCACACCCCTACCTTAGTGGGAAAAGCTTATCTGTTATAGTAAAGCATATGATGGTCACATGCCAACCAGGTCAACTACTTCAACAGGTCCCAGGGGCCAAATAACTAGCTTATTTCCCAATCATTTTTGTTGTCATTGGAGACAGGGTCTCCTGGAGCTCACGGTGTAGACCAGGCCAAGTTGGCCTCGAACTCAGAGCGTTTCTCCTGTCCCTGCGTGCTCAGGTCAAAGGTGTGCGCCACCACACCTGGCCTTTATTTCCCAACCATCAGCTGGCCTTTATTTCATCTCTGATCCCACGGAGCCACTCACCTTCGGGGCCCTGGCGGGCAGCAGCGTGCAGTGCCGTGTCGCCGTGGCGGTCCTGGTGGGCTGGGTCAGCCCCGAGTCGCAGCAGCAGGCACAGGGCTGGGGCATCGTGGCGGGCACAGGCCCTGTGGAGAGGAGGGGGCTGCCCGGCATCCACATCAAGGCCAGGGTGTCGCTGGAGGAGAGCCTGGGCTCGCACCAGCCGCCCTGCAGACAAGTACCGCCGGAAGCGTCGCTCTCGGCGTTGTCGGCGGGAAGCAGAGGCCATGGAACTCTTGGGCTGAGGAAGAAGTGGGAAAAGGCAGCAGTGAGGACCACACTCGGCTCTCCCTCCATCTCAGATTCGCTTGCCTGCTCCTCCCTTCACCTCCCATTTACCTCCCGTTACATTTCCAGCAAGAGATGAAGCCTTTCCTAAACTCTCATCCCTTACCGGATGACAGGTTGGGGCGTGGGGTGGGTGGTTGAGTGGAGTTGGGGGCCGGGGTCATAGACTTAATTTCGGATGTAATTTTTGAGAAGACGATACATGATTGTTTTAAGGCTCCAGAGACCAAGAAAAAAGTTAACTCTGAACTTTGTTGGGGGGGGGAGGGTTGAAAAACTAGTAAGGCCAGACCGGGGGTGGAGGCATTTTCATCAGCCCAAATCTGAACTGGGAAAAAAGTCACAAATTCAAAGAGTGATCTAGAAATGGAATATAATGTACCCGACAGACAGACGTAGAGGCTTCTTCCTCGGGGACCTGGGGGGAGGGGTTACTCATCAGACCTGCTCCCCGCCCCCCAAGGACCCTCGGAGCTGGGGACCCGGGGCCTGGGTTTGAGACGCTCCGAGAAGGGAGGCGGGAAGGTAGGAGGCGCTCCGGGCTGGCGGAAATGGCGCCAGCGCGGAGGCAAGTTTCGGGCGGAAATGAACTATTAGGCCCATCCCGGAAACCGTCCCGCTCTCCCGGACCCGGTGCTCCATGATTAGGCTTCCGGAGGGGAAACAAAGCAATTGCGACAGAGGGTCCTCCTGAAACTAGAATTCGGGATTTAGAGGCCAAGTAATAAGGGACTGGGAGACAGGAGGGGTGTTCTGAGGTTTCTCTCGGACCCCTCAATAGGAGAGAAGGAGTAGTTTGATAACGGGATAAAAATAGAAAGAGAAAGACAGCAAAGAGGGGAAGATTAAAAAAAAAAAAAAAGCCCAGCACTCACTCAGGAGGCAGAAGCCATCCCAGCCTGGACTACAGAGCGAGTTACAGGACAGCCAGGACTCCACAGAGAAACCCTGTCTCCAAATACAAAAAGAAAAGAAAAGAATATAGGTAGATCCAAAAAGAAAAATACATGAGACGACTCTAAGTAGGCAAATGTAGGACAGAGGAGGTGAGATGTGTGCAGGCGTTCGGATTTGGGAAATGTGTTTTTTTTTTTAAAAAAAAAAAAATGGGAGACTGAAGAGGGGGAGGGGAGGGGCAGAGGGAGGCGGGGAGACAGAGCGGTGGTAGTGTGAAGCCCATCGTACTGGTCTCCAAGCACATCCTTACCTTCACACACCATTCTCATCGTCTTTGTGTCTCCTCTAAGACCACCAATCAAGTTCTCCCACCCAAACGCTCCAGCCTCCGTTTCCCCCATCCCCATCCCTGTAGACCCCGGTGACACCGAGAAGCCCTCCCTGCACCTGCTGCTGTATGTCAGCACAGGGCCTGGTCTCTGCTGCCCCCAGGCGGCCGTTTGGGGCACTACCTCAGTGAGGCTCTAGAGGAGGACCAGTCATCAGTGTGAGGATGCAGGAGACTGAGAAAAACGGGAGCATTAAGACCCAGTGGGAGTAGAGGATTGCAGCAACGAGCCGGCCGGAGGAGTAGGCGCTGGAGGGTAGGAGCCATCTGGTACCTTGGTCGCCTTCGAAACAGCATCCTCTCTAGTGACAAAAAATGGCCAGTCAGTCCCAGGGTATCCAGCAGCTCCTCCAAGCTGAGAAGCGGGCAGCAGAGAAGGTGGCCGATGCCAGGAAGAGTGAGCCTCCTCTTTGCTCTCTTAGGACCCTGGAAGGAGAATTTAGGGGCAGGGCGTACGGACATTTGAGTCCTTAGGAAAACCCAAGGATAATGGAGACATGGAGACTGAACTGGGGTCTGGAAGCTTATTACGATAGAAGAAATGGGTGGGTTTTTTAGAATCCAGCACTTGGTTGGTTGACAGGAAGCTGAATAACTTTCTGGAGGGGTCTGGTCCCTACTAACACACCTTGGATGTGTGTGTGTGTGCGTGTGTGTGTGTCTGTCTGTCTGTCTGTCCGTCCGTCCGTCCGTCCTTCTGCCTCTAGGGAAGGCCCGGAGACTGAAGCAGGCAAAGGAGGAAGCCCAAATGGAGGTAGAGCAATACCGCAGAGAGCGTGAGCAGGAGTTTCAGAGCAAGCAGCAGGCGGTGAGTTGAGGGGGGGGGCAGGGGTGGATGGACCAACTCAGGCGCAAATTAGGGGGTGCCCCTGTAAAATGTAGGTGACTCAACAAGAAACTATGCTGTCACAGAGGGCTGGCAAGGCCTAGCAATTTTAAAGGATGCATGTAACTTGGGGCAGCCTTCACAGTCTGTGTGGAGTGTGGCAACATGGATGGTGTGGGGGACAGTTTTATGGCCATTGTGGTAAAAGGGTGGGAAGTCCAGGCTGTTTTTTTTTTTTTTTTTTTTTTTTTTTGAGTAAGGTTGTATGCTACGTCTTGGAAACCGGGATTGTGCTGACCTGTCTGGTATCCAGAGTTTTTGTGGATGGGAGTAGTTTTGAAAAGGCTTTCCAGGCCTTTCTTGGGATCCTTCCTTCTACACAGTAGGACCTTTCTTTCTCTGTTTTTGCTTTTTCTGTCTCTCCTCTACCCCGCTCCCCAGGCCATGGGCTCTCAGGGGAACCTGTCTGCAGAAGTGGAACAGGCCACCAGACGTCAGGTCCAGGGCATGCAGAGCTCCCAGCAAAGAAATCGGGAGCGTGTCCTGGCTCAGCTTCTTGGCATGGTCTGTGATGTCAGGCCCCAGGTCCACCCCAACTATCGGATCACTGTCTAGGATCACTTCTTAGGGACATGTCCCTAGAGGCTGACTCCTCTGTCAGCTCAGATCCCAACCCAAAATCGCTTGTGAAGCATGCATAGAGCCCTGGCTTCAATCCCTAGGACTCCCCCTTCCATCCCCAATCACTTGACATAATAACCTTTTCCAGAGCTGAAGAGATGGCTCAGAGGTTAAAAGCTCTGATGGTTCTACCACAGGTCCTGAAATGGCTCACAACCATCTGTAATGAGATCTGGTGCCCTCTTCTGTTGGGCAGACATATATGCAGACAGAACACTGTACACATAATAAATAAATAAACTTTTAAAAAAATCTTTTCCTAGGAGAGAGGCTTCTAGGTGACAGGATCCAACATTCCCCCATGAGACTTACAAATAGCCCATTCAAACCTGAATCTGTGTGTTCCATGACACCCACTTGGAACTATACTAACAGACGCCCAAGTCATCCCCATCACTCCTTCTGTGAAACGTGTCATGTGACAGGGGTATGGAAAACACCCTGACTCCAGAGTTGGCAGATTTGAGTTTCTCTCCTTCCCCTGCTTCTTGATGGCTGCAAGACTGCGACCTGGACAAGGTATTTAACCTGGAAATCCCATGTCCTCCTGTTTGTAACTGGAATGAGGATAATAGGGCTAAACCCTTAATGTGACTGCTGTGAGAACTCAGCATAGTTCCAAACAGGTGGTAGTTGTAATTGGCAATCACAAATTATGACCCCTGTGGCGTTCCCCTTCATGCCCTGCCTGAATCCTAATCGGTCCGTAGGGCCCCCATAGTGCTTAGTCATTGTGACTCAAGTAATTCTGTAAAGGATTTGTTTTTCCCATTCTCCAAAGGCACATCATGACCCCAGAAAAGTTGAAATGATAATGTCATTTATACTGAACCTCTTAGCATCTCTGTTTGTTGTGAGCCAGTCTTTCCTTTTGACTCTCCCTCTTGTTATCTGTTTTCCCAAAGCTTACTGCTTCGCAGAGCTGAAGTGATTTCTTTCTGTGCCCTCAACACCTCACTTCCCTGTGTAACAGCAGAGTGTCAATAAAATAAAAAGTGGATGAGTCGGTTTGTGGTGGAAGCAGCCTCTTTCCACCCTATGGTTTCTCTTTTTCATTCCCTTTCCTCAGAACACTGCAAGTGGCTGCCCTGGGCAGCTTTCTGGAGAAAGAAAAGCACATAGTAATGTGGTATTTCTCTCAAGTGGGAACAAGTGTGGCACCTCAGGAACCAAGGGCTGCATTCGATAACTGCAAGAGAAAAGTCGGCATGTCCAAACAAGCACTCTGCACCTTCTCTTGTTTTACTCTACTTGCTAGTGCCTGGTGTGTGTGTGTGTGTGTGTGTGTGTGTGTGTGTGTGAGAGAGAGAGAGAGAGAGAGAGAGAGAGAGAGAGAGAGAGAGAGACTACTCACTGTGTATCTTACTATGTAGCCCTGGAATTTGCTATGGAGCCCAGGCTGGCCTTGAACTCAGAGAGATTCACCTGCCTCTGTCTCTTGAATGTTGTGGTTAAAGACATGTGCCTCCACACCTGGCTTGACGTTATATGTTTAGGTATTAGCTATAATTATGTAAAGTATCTAATGGCAGGCTGTTGTGTCCCCAGAGCCTAAGGTAGCACTTGGCACATGATTGGCAGCTGGTGAATACTGCAGACTAAAATGATGCTCATGGATGGGAAGCTGCTCTTCAGTGACTCCCATTCTTGCAACACTTCTCTTCCCTATGGAAGGCAAGCTTGTTTCACCTAGAACATGAACCAGTGAGTTAACTTGTAGTCTTTTCTTATATGACTTTTCTGAAGGTAGACATAAAAAGTCTATTTATGCCAGGTAGGGCACTAATCAAAGACCAAAGAAACTTCTCCACTCAAGTCTAGACTGGCAGAATTAGGGGTCCATTGCCAGCAGTATGGGTGATGACAGGTCACTTATAAAAGCAAGGGTGATTTAAGCAGCTTACCCCTCTACATAACTTGTACAAAGATCCACCAAAGAGACATATGTCACCAGGAACTGTTTATGGGTGACATAATCTGGAAGAAGGGTTCTGTGTCTTGCAACTTCTTTCTGATTTTTATGAGCCTTCTCTACTGTCATGAGGAAGAGATGTTTCAATCCTGAGGAAATAGCTATCAAAATCAACCAGAGTTTTGAAGCAGGGAGACAGAGTTGATGGGAGATTGTTATGCCTACATCTTGGTGTGACCCTGCTAGCTGAACTACTTGCATGTGTTTATAGGAATAGTGGAGCAGGGCATACTGCCTACTGACTTAATCCCAGCACTTGAAGGCTGAGGTGGGAGAATTGCGAATTTGAAGCTAGTCTGGGCTATAAGACAAACTCAAATGCACTAACAAAGAAAGGAAGGTAAGACAGATGCAAGGGATCCCCTTTGTTCTGGCCATTGGCTCAGGTTTTATGTATTGCTAAAATCACTATGAATGTTAATGAATTCTTCAAGTTTTTTTTTTTTAATCATAAGTGATTCTCTGATGTTGATTTTCCTGTAAACAAGCAGACACCAGGAGGTAGGGCATTCAATTCTCTACTGACAGCTGTTGGACAATTCCTTTCTGCCTTGGCTGCCTTAAGCAGGACTGTGGATCAAACAGCCAGTCAGACCATTCTTTGCCCAAAACTGGCTATTCTTAACACTTTGAGAAAACCACACAGCTCCTGAAGGTGTAGCCTCAGCCAGTACTATTTCAAACAGTTGGCCACTGAATTTTTTGCTATCACAAGCCTTGATGGGTTTTAGATGACATTCAGTCCGCATTTCATCATCTCCCGCCACCCTCCGTGGTATAGAAACTTCCTATAGTCCTGTAGGAGAGGGTAATAGTGCTAAAGGGGCAATGTCATGTGATTGGTGCAAACACAAGCCTTCATTTGCACGAATTTGCTGTGTTGGTGCAAATATCCTTTGTTGGCTGTAAAGTAGAATGTTTGACTCACTTGGGGGGGTCAGCTGGGATAAACTTTACTATGTTACCCTCAGTGCTACAACGTTAGGTCCAATAAAAGACTTCTCTTGAGAGGTCTTCTCTGGCCTTTTAGGCTGAGCTGGTAACAACAGGGAGAAAAAAGTGCCTAGAGTCTGCCGTCTGGGTCACTAGAAGATTTCCTGGGAATTGTCTTCAAAGCCATAGGCCCCACATACTTCATTTTCCTACTTTACCTGGGTCTGAGGAATCCCCACCTACAGCTTACAGCAAAAGCTGTGGTGTCTGTGAATACTAACACTAGAGGACGCCACCTGCTATTATGTCGATGCGCCTCCCTGGGCCGTCAAATGATGAAGGTTGGTGACCATGGTGCCTACTTAGTGTTAAGTGGTGAAGTGTGCTAACAGGGAGAGCTCGCACGGGTCAGCAGGTCATCACTGCTCATTTATGTAGCATCTCAAAGTACCACATATTTGGGGGACGAGGGGAGAGATCCAGGCTGAACAATGGAGCTGTTGTGGTAGGACTAAGAACACTCTGCTGTTTTTTTTTTCCGAACCCTGTCTCGAAAAAACAATGATAATAATAACTACAATTTAGGAAAGCCGCATAACACTCAAACCCCACCATTTATTTTTTTAAACGCTCGGACAGGATGTAAATCTCCATCACCCAAGTTGCTACATTGCCAATTATCATTTTGGGTAAATCCTGCTCATTCTCCACACAACTGTAAAGGGCGTGGTCGTGCCCCCAGCCGGTGCCCCAGCACCCTCCTTCCGGGAGGCTGTAGTGAGCTCAGCAACACTCAGGTCACCTTGACTACCAGATTAAGGACCCCGCGAGTACGCGTGACGTTCAGCACGCAGAATCCTTCGAGCTCATGGAGGGGTGCCCAGAGACAAGCCTGGCGTGGCGAAGAAAACAAAACAGAAGTAAAAGCCGGACGCCGCGGTGACGGGTGTGGAGAGGTGCGAGCTTCTCGTCCGGCTCCCGGCACCAGCGGCAGCGAACGAGTCACAAGGCTGACCTCAGCTAGGCATTTTCCAAAGGCAGCCCCGAGCGCGCGCAGCGGGAGGCCCGCCTCGCCCCGCCGCACCGGCTTCCGGCTTCCGGCATCCCGCGCCTGCGCCCTGGCAGTCGGGAAGGCGGGAGTCTGGGGAAAGCGCCTAGGACCGGAAGTGAAGACAGGTTCCCGCCTCCGTCCCTGTCGCCGCCGCCATACACGCTCGCAGTGCTTAGGTAAGCTTTGGCCTTGTGCGCCATCCGCCGCCATCTGCCCTTGTTTCGCCGCGTCCCGCCGCGCGCGTCCCTGATACCCCTCGCCCAGGCGGCGGCCTGGCTTCTGGGGCTTGGTCGGGCCCTCGGTCCCGTTGTTTTCGCCCCTTTTCTGACAGCAAATCTCGGTGGGGAGCAGGGAGACGGGGGGGGGGTTTGACAATCCAAAATGGTGGCTTCGGCCGCCATTGTGTTTCCTTGCTTCCTGGATGTCCCAGTGGGTCCCCTTTCCACCCGAGGCCGCAGCGACCGGAGGCGGCGCTACGAGGAGGGCGGGGCCGCCCTCCTCTCCCCTCCCGGCCTTTGCCTGGCCCGCGGTGGGATGAGAAGGAGACGCCTCGGGGCCCATGAACTCTCCGGCCTCCACTTGCCCACTCTTAGTTTGGAGCTCTCTCCAAATGGTCACCTTCGTGCGTGACCAATGGCACCACGTAGTTTTCGGAAAGGTGCCATACCTGCGACGCGCCACAAGGTGCCCAGACCTCTTGGCACGTAGTCCAAGTCGGAGTGGGTTGCGTATCCCCCAGCTGTGACCCTGTGGCTTTTAAAAACCTATTTTTGTAGCGCTGGGCCTCGCGCATTGGTGGACAGGCGTTATGGTTTAACTGTATACGCTCCAGGCTTTGGGGATTTTTGTGTGTTTTTTTGTTGTTGTTGTTTTGGGGGGGCACTGAGCCACTCGTACCCCTGCACCTACTGTTAGTTTGCGGCAGGCCTTCCTCCCCGCCCACCTTCCTTCCTGGTTCTGCTCTCCAGTACTGGGATCACAGGTGTGCGTTCGCCTCCGGGATGGGCATTCAGGTGCTCTGGAACAGGTGAATAGCAGCCACATGATGTTCGCAATTGGGAAGTGAGCGCTCCGCGCAGTGCTGACCGTTATCTATCACCCTTGACTGATGGCTGCTGGTGGCAACCAACACCGTGAGGCGATAGGGAGAGCGCAGTCTGTGGGCCCCTCTTGTCCTTCGCAGTGTCACCCTCCCGAGAGTCGCTCATCAGACTCCTTTTCATGGTCTCTTGAGTTGCTCCTTTGGGTCAGAGTGCGAGCCTGTCTGGGTTAGCAGTCGTTCCTGAGACCACTCTCCGTTTCTCCCACGCAGTGGTCGTTTTTGTTGTGTGTGTCTTTTCTTCCGGGGCAGAGGTCTGTGGTTTAGGGAAAATAAGAAGGAAAGTGAGGGTGGACAAGAAGTGGTGGGTGTGTACATGACTGATGAGTTCTGTTTTTTGTTTTTTTGTTGTTGTCCTCTCTCCCAGCTCTTCTGTCAGAAAACTGGTGTCTTTTCCCTTGCTGTTCCTCAGCCCCCTCTCTTTCCCCTTGCTTTCACACCTGCTCTGGGACCACTCACCCTAAAGACCTCCCTTCTCCCCCTACCGGCCCAATTATGGCAGAGAATGATGTGGACAATGAGCTCTTGGACTATGAAGATGATGAAGTGGAGACAGCAGCAGGGGGAGATGGGACTGAAGCTCCTGCCAAGAAAGATGTCAAGGGCTCCTACGTCTCCATCCACAGCTCCGGCTTTCGAGACTTCCTGCTCAAGCCAGAGTTGCTCCGGGCCATCGTTGACTGTGGCTTTGAGCATCCATCAGAGGGTATATTTTATTGTTGGGCATAGAGACCTCATTATGCATCCATTTCTGTTTAGAATAGGCTAGGCAATGAGAGTGTACCTAGATGTTAGCACTAGAGGACGCTTGTTAGCTTTGTTCAGACAGGACTGCTGTTTGTCCTGCACACGGCTTTTCATATTTGCTTGGTCTTCATCTTTCTTGCTGTTTGGCCTTTCAGAGAGGGCCTAGCTGGAGTTTTAGTTCCCATCTTTCAGGCCAGGCCAACTGAGGTCTTAATGATTGCTCTAAAGGTGCTGGCTTCTGGGGCCAAGTCCTTCATTTTTGTCCAAGGTTGCAGGGTTATGTAACCCCAAAGCAGGGCAACCTATGTAGGAGAAATGGCCTGTGGTAGGCATTCAGGTTCATGAGTTGTTCGGAAAGTAACGACAGTGGGGCACATTGAAGGTGAGCTGTTGGTAGGTGCAAGAGGGTTCTTAGTAACACCAGGGAGGCCTGAAGTTAGGACACAGTGACTAAGGGGACAGACACAGAGAGGGGATGGGTTGGCTTGAAAGGTGACAGGGACCAGGCAAACTCTGGAGTATCAGTTGGGTACAAAGGAGTTTGGTGTGGTGCAAAAAGTCTCTTTCCCTTTTTCTCTTTCTAGTCCAGCATGAATGCATCCCTCAGGCCATTCTGGGGATGGATGTCCTGTGCCAGGCCAAGTCAGGCATGGGGAAGACAGCAGTGTTTGTCCTGGCCACATTACAGCAGCTGGAGCCAATCACTGGGCAGGTATGTTTGAGGCAGTGCTGGGAGGGCGTTGAGGCTGATGCACTGAAGACTGTGGCTACATAACGCTTTTAGAGTTGGTCTCCCTGGCAGTTGGGGGGGGGTGTTCTGTAGCGGCATGGCTTAATGGTTTAAGTCTCAGAATTGATGTCGCCAACCATTTGGCAGATGTTTTGTGACAGTCTGGAGGGTGACAAAGGACTGACATGGTGTTGCCTCCATTTCTCTTGAAGGTGTCTGTGCTGGTGATGTGTCACACTAGAGAGTTGGCTTTTCAGATCAGCAAGGAATATGAGCGATTCTCAAAGTATATGCCAAATGTCAAGGTAAGGGTGGGGAGTGCGGGAACTTCTGGGGTAACAATTGAATGTCCTAAAGGCGTGGAGTGACTGTAGGAGCCTTTGGTATGATGACAGGCTGTTCTGTAGCTGTCCTTGCAGGTTCACTGCTGTGACTCCATCTGTGTCCCTGAGAGTTCACAATGGCACTCTGGGTGATACCACCACAGAACACTTATGTATTTTAATTTTTGTGATATTGTAAATCTGATTCCAGAGCCTTGCTAAGTGAGCAGCCTGCTACTGTGCCTGGTTTTGGCCTTTGAGACAGGCTTTCTCTGTAGCTTTGGAGCATGTCCTGGGACTCACTCTATAGACCAGGCTGGCCTCAAACTCAGAGAAACCTACCTCTGCCTCCCATTAAAAGTGTGTGTCATTACCGCCCACATTTTTTAATTTTTCTTTCTTACCCCATTACACTGTCTTTTTGTCGTTCTCTCTCAGTTAGTTTTTCAAGACAGGGTTTCTCTGTGTACCCATGGCTGGAGGTGGAGGTGAGCCTAGATATGGTATGTGAGTCTGTAGTTCCAGTTAGGCTGGTGGGGGCGTGCCTTCCCCCACCATATTACCTACATAGTTATAAAATTGGAATTGTCTGTACTTTCCCTTTGTTGTACAACAAAGTGTCCTCATGGGACCTGACTTGTCACTATTAGGTTTAGCCTGCTCTTTCCTCAATAGCTATTGCAGCCTAAAACTTATATTTGGAAACTTATATAGATACAAGGTAAAACTTTTTGGGCAGGAATGGTTTGTTTGCCATAAACCTTGTTAACCATTACTGGTTTTTGAATGAGAGTGGGGAAGAGAATAAGCATTGTGGGGGGCTGGAGAGCTGACTCAGAGGTTAAAAGCACTGGCTGCTCTTCCAGAGGTCCTGGGTTCAATTCTCAGCACCCACATGGTGGCTCACAACCATATGTAATGAGAGCTGGTGCCCTTTCTGGAGTGCAGGCATAGCATATATGTAGGCAGAACACTGTATACATAGTAAATTTTAAAAGTGTGACAATGTGCTCCTGGATTGTTTCTTTCCCCTTGAAACAGGAGATGTGTGTTTACTTGATATGCTAATTAAAGCTCAGATCCTAGCATTCACCTGATGGTTTACACAAGGCAAGACTTTAATCTTCTCACTCAGGAAGCAGAGGCAGGCAAGTTCTCCAGTCAGCTAAAGCTATGTAGATTGGTTTACAGTCAGCTAAAAGAGCAGGTCACTGGTGTCTGGCAAGGTGGCCCATGCCTTTAATCCCAGCACTTGGGCAGCAGAAACAGGCTGATCCACCAAGTGAGTTGGAGGCAGGGCAAGCCTACTCAGTGAGAAGAAAAGGAAAATACAGAGTCTTTGTCCTTTTCTGTGACACTTTCCCATTGGCTGACAGGTGGCAGTGTTCTTTGGCGGTCTGTCTATCAAGAAGGATGAAGAGGTGTTGAAGAAGAATTGTCCACACATCGTTGTGGGGACTCCCGGCCGAATTCTAGCCCTGGCTCGCAATAAGAGCCTGAACCTTAAGCACATTAAACACTTTATCTTGGACGAATGTGACAAGATGCTTGAACAGCTCGGTGAGTGGCAGTGCTCGGGCCTGGGCTCAGGTGGTTTGGGGAGCTGCCCCTTGGAGCCAAATGATGTTTGTTTGACACAGGAGCACTTGTGTGCCAGGACGACTCTTGATCTATCACCCATGACTGATGGCTCTGCCTTTCATTCTCTTCCCCTAGTGCTGGGCACTGAGCCCAGGGGCCCTGTGCATGCTGGTTTGCTAAACTAGAGCAGGAGGTGCCTGCTCTGCCATCCCAGGACAGCAGTGGTACTCACCCTTTCTAATGAGACAACTCTCCTCGAGTTGTGCTGCTCCCCAACCATAATATTATTTTTGTTGCTATTTCATAACTACAATTTTGCTACTCTTATGAATCTTATGAATCATAATGTAAATATTTGATATGGGGCCCTTTTGAAGAAAGGGTTGTTCCGATCTCCCTTCACCCACCCAAGGGGTCTCCACCCATAGGTTGAGAACCACTGTAGTCAGAATTCATAAATGAGCAGGTTTCTAGAGTTCAGTTCTGGGATTTTATCTGGTGAGTGTTCCCAGGAGGTCGTGTGTTCTGATGTTGTAGTGTGCCAAGTGGGGTTAAAAGGGAATATTAAGGAATTTGTTGAGCCAGGCATTGGTGATGCACGACTTAATCCCAGCATTCAGGAGGCAGAGGCAGGTGGATCTCTATGAGTTCGAGGCCAGCCTGGTCTCAGAGTGAATTCCAGGACAGGCTCCAAAGCTACACAGAGAAACCCTGTCTTGGAAAAATAAATTCTTTTTTGTTGGGGCTGGGACCTGGCTCAGCAATTAAGAGCACTGGCTGCTCTTCCAGAGGTCACAGATTTAATTCCAGCAAACCACATGGTGCCTCACAGCCATCTCTAGTGAGGTCTGGTGCCCTCTTTTGGCATGGAGGTATGCAGGCAGGCAGAATACTGTATATACAACAAATAATTGAAACAAAAAATATTGTTGGGCACTGAAGAAATGGCTCATCAGTAAGAGCACTGGCAGCTCTTTCAGAGGACCTGGGTTAAGAACTGGAGAGATAGCTTAGTGAGAACTGGGCTCTCTTCTAGAGGGCCTGGCTTTCATCCCAGTACATTCCCACATGGCAATGTGTAACTGTAACTCCAGTTCCAGTGGACCCAAACCTTCCTACGCCTTGTTTGAGCACTAGGCACATAGCTGGTATATGGACATAACATGCAGGTAGAACACCTACACACATAATAAAGGTTAAAGATAGTGGTGGTGCACACCTTCAGTCCTGGCACTAAGATAAGGCTGTGGATCTCTAAATTGGAGGCCAGTCTACAGAGAAAATTCAAGGTCAGCTGGGACTACACACTGAAACTTGGTCTCTAAAAACAAAGCTTTTGTGCTTTTTTTTTTTTTTTTTTTTTTGGTTAGGGGATGAATTATAGGCCAACTAAGGGCTACATAGTAAGACCCTACCTTTATTTTATTAATTTATTGTTTTTACATTCCCTCCCATTTACTCCAAGGAGAGAGCAAGGCCACCCATAGGAAGTCTATTACATCTGTCCCATTATCTCTTTGAGGCAGGACCAAGGCACCTCCCCACACCCGTGTCCAGGCTGAGCAAGGTATCTCCATATAGAATGGGCTCCACTAAGTCAGTTTGTGCACTAGAGTTAGATCTAGGACCCATTGCCAGTGGCTTCATATATTATCCCAGCCACACCATTGCCACCTATATTAAGGAAGTCTAGTTTGGTATTATGCAGGTTCCCCACTTGTCAGACCTGATTTTTATGGGTTTCCCTATCATAAGATCCTATCTTTAAAACAAACAAAACAAAAAAAGAAACAGAAAAAGAAATCAGTTTTGGTTAGTTGGCCTTTGTCCAAGATGGCAGAGTAATGGTGGGCATTAGAGAGGTAATATTTGCCTGGCCTAATGAGTGCGAGACTAGAGTTGAAGGTGACAGCACAGTGGACTGATGTATAGAGTAAGTGCTTTGTAGACTTGTGTGGTGAGAAGAGCTGGTAAGAGGAGACAAGACATGTTATGTATACACCTCACTGTAGCTCTTAACCTGGAACCTGCTGTGTGGATCAGGCTGCCAACTCTGACAAGCCTACTTTTACTTCCTGAGGGCTGGGATTAAAGATGTGTATCACCATACCTGACAAAATAATACACTAATTTCAGATTTAAGTTCATAATTATTAGATATGTAAAATGATTGTTCTAAATAAAAAGTATTATTTTTATATGGACTGCTTCATGAATTTTCATATCTTGTGTAAGGGCCATGCTAACTTCTGTATAGCTCCAATTTTAGTATGTGTGTTTTTGTTTTTCGAGACAGGGTTTTTCTGGAGCTTTGGAGCCTGTCCTGGAACTTGTTCTTTAGACCAGGCTGGCTTTGAACTCAGAGCCATCCATCTGTCTGCCTCCCAAGTGCTGGGATTAAAGGCATGCACCACCACTAACCGGTGTAAGCTCTTAAGTTTATTATTTTTGATTTTGTGTGTGTTTCTTAGGACCAAGCGGCATTGGGTTTCCCCTGGAGCTCTTAAGTTACAGGCAGTTGTGGAAGCTGGGGGCCTAACTCAGTCAGGTCTTCTGGAAGAGCAACAAGTGCTCTCTCTAGCCTCATACCCTGTGTTTAAGGGTTGCTATTCCTGAACCTATGGTAGATTTTATCCCCATTTTATAAATTTCGACTTTAGGTTCAGTTATATTTTCTTGGCTGAATAAAGTGTGGAACCTGACCACAAATCATTCTAAATGCATTTGTTTTTCCATGTTACTTTTTTGTGTTAAGCAATCTTGACTAGCCTAGGTTGATCTCAAAACTCAATACATAGCTCCTGATCCTGCTGTCTCCTCCTGGGATTACAGGCATGCACCTCCAAGCCTGGCATGTTCCTGTAGGTAATGGAGAGGGAAGGCTCATGTTTCCAGAGTGACTTCCTGAATTTTCATTGGCTGTGGTCTCACTGCACTTAAATCACAGACTCATTTCCTCCTGTAATTCTTTCCCTGCAGACATGCGTCGGGATGTCCAGGAAATTTTTCGCATGACCCCCCATGAGAAGCAGGTCATGATGTTCAGTGCTACCTTGAGCAAAGAGATCCGGCCAGTCTGCCGCAAGTTCATGCAAGATGTAAATACCCTTCTACCTTCTCTCCCTCCACTCCCCGCCCGCTGCCTCCTCCCCCTCCTCGCCCTCTTCCTCCAGACTCCCTTGTCCTTCAAGCACCAAGAAGGGAGCTTGTGTTCATCCGGGAGTGACGACTCCTTGAAGAAAAACACAGAGGCAGAGACAGTTAGTGATAGGGTTTGTGCGCGTGCCAGGGAAACTCCGGAAGACTTGGTCGGGTTTACGTGAGAGCGGGTAGCATTTGACATTTTTTAATCGCAACATTTTTGAACCTCTTCTCCCTGTCAGGGATAGGGCAAGATTTTGTGCCCTATCGCCTGCCCATCGTCTCCTACACCCCTGCAGCCACACACCCTCCAGGTGGCATGGAGTGTTCAGCTGGAGCCTGTGCTCACCGAAACTCATACATCTATCTCAGTGGCAGGAGAGCAAGAGAGGGACAGTCAGGTGGCAGGGCCTGTCCAGAAGAAGAACAAACAAAGAGCACCATGAACCTGCCCCTTCCAACCTCCAAGGGCGGGGGCCTTTGGCACCTCAGCCTCCCCAGTCCCCCCACTCCTTCCTGTCCATACCTCCTTGCGCCATCGGAGCCTTGGTTGATGTGAGCTGGCAGCAGAGAAGCTCTGAGGCACGACGGGAGAATGCAGACCTGCGAGCGGTGGATGGCAGCATCGGAGGCCACGGGGAGCCTGACCAGGATGCCGAGGACCAAGCCAGTCTCTTTTTCTGTTCCCGGTTTTTTCCTGAACCTAATGTGCTGTACCCCGTTTCCCCCGTACCTGTTGGGAGGGGTGTCCTGAATGGGGTGGTGGGTTTTTTTCCTCTTTCTTATTTTTATTTATTTTTTTTATTTTTTTTTTTATGATGGGAAAAGACAAATGGGAAGCAGCACTGAGATGTAACCAAGCTGGCTTTCAGTGCCAAGACTGAGCAGGGGGAGGGGTGTCCTTCCCTCCCTGACCTGTTCCTTCCCTTCACAAGATGGTTTTCTCTTGGGCTGGGCTTGGGGCTAGAATTAGGAGGAGGATTTGAGACTTATTTGGGGAGCTGCCTTGCCATTCTGCTTTCTGGACACCCACTTAGTCCCTTGCTCTATGTGAACTGTCTCAAGACAGAATAGAGAGTGGGGAAAATCTATCCTGCAGCTAACCGGTGTCTGTTTCAATGTTTATATTCCTTCCTCCCCTTAAAGGGTTAGGGGTGGGCATATAGTTTTTGTTTTTTATAGAATGTAAGGTCAATTCCTTCTATTGCCCTTTTCCCTTTGATGCTAAGAGATCATTGTATTAGATTTTCAGAGAAAAAGAACAGGGCAGGGAAGCTGTAAACCTCTCAGCTGCTGGGAGGAGGGAGCTGGGGGTGAGGGCTCCAGAGAAAGGGAAACCCCAGAGGGTCAGGAGTGAGCTCAGAAAGGTGCCAGGTCCAGTTGTGGGCTGTGGGAAAGCCTGCACTTGCTGTTGTCTAGCACCATGTGTGTATCCCTCACCTCTTAAGTATAGGTGGTCAACCACCTGAGAGCTGGGATCACAGCGTGCCACTAAGGCCCAGCTCTTGAATGGCTTTTTGGCTGTGTCCATTGCAACCTTCTGGTCTTGAGGATATTTGCTGAAGTGCAGAGAGGGCAGTCGTCCCTGTCCCGTTGTGTTGCCCAGGCCGCATCACTGCTGCCCCTCCTGTGTGTTCTGGCCATGCTCTCCTCTTGAGTACCATCTCCCATTGCTAACTTACCCCATCACCACCTCTGACACTCACCTTGCAGCTGGGAGCTTCACAGCTCTCTGCAGAGTCCCTTTCTCTCACCGTTCATTCAGCTGATGCAGATGCTACCAGATCTAACTGGGAAGGGACCTCAGTACAGAGTGTTCTTGTAATGGGGAGGGGTTTTCAGTCTTCTCTCTCCCCCATCAGTCCATGGGGTGTATTGGAGATCAGCACCCTCCACCCCCCCAGGTTTAACCCCCCCACTCTGCCCTCCTCCTGCCCCCACCCCTCCTTCCCTCAGCCTATGGAGATCTTCGTGGATGATGAGACCAAGTTGACGCTGCACGGGTTGCAGCAATACTACGTGAAACTGAAGGACAACGAGAAGAACCGGAAGCTCTTTGACCTTCTCGATGTCCTCGAGTTCAACCAGGTCAGTATTGAGGCTCTGTGGGCTTGAGCACTGGACATCTCCAGCCATGCCAGAAGCCTGTGATTGAAGAGCCAAGTGTGTGAAGAGGTGAGAGACACCTGAGGTAGAGTACTTGATGACTTGAGTAAATGGAGGAAAGCACTTAGTTGTGTACTGGTGTGGTGGCTTTACTGTTGTCTCTCACAGCCACCTAAGAGGAGCAGTGTCAGCCTGGGATAAGCTGACTGCAGAGCCACTGTGGGCTCTTAGTCTTTGAAGAGGCTCATCTGCTTTTCTAGACTACAGCTCATTAGTTTTCCTGAGGGTGCCTCACCCTTGTGTGTGCCAGTTGAGGTCGTGTGTCCGTGGTAGCTCAGAGGTCAGGCTGTTCAAAAATCTTGGCCTAGACACACAGGCAGTTAAGTTCAAGAGCAGAAAAGAACATTTGTGAAGGGACATTTGAGATGGAATAAGGGACTGAGGAGCTCTTTAGAAATCCTGCCAGGGCAGGTTGGTGGTGCCAGCCACCTTTAATCTTAAGCTCTTTGAGGCAGAGGCAGGCAAACCTCTTTGAGTTCCAGGCCAGCCTGGTCTACAGAGTGAGTTCCAGGACAGCCAGGGCTACACAGAAACCAGAGAACTAACCAACAAAAATGCTGCCAGGTGTGCTGGTGTAGGTGCTTTTAATCCCAAGCACTGGGTAGTCGGAGCCAGGCATATCTCTTGTCAGTTCAAGTATGGAGCCACCCTGGTTCACATGTTTGAGGACAATTAGAGCTACACAGAGAATTCCCCCCCCCCAAAAAAAAAAAAAAAAAAAAAAAACTTCAGTATTGAGATCCCTGGAGCTGGACCATAGAAGTGGCTCAGAGCTGGGTGGTGGTGGCTCAAACCTTTAATCCCAGCATTTGGAGGCAGAAGCAGGCAGATCTTAGGGAGTTCAAAGCCAGCCTCATCTACATATGAAGTTCCAGGACAGCCAGGGCTACACAGAGAAATCCTTCCTGAATTGAAAAACAATAGTAGGTTAAGAGCACTCTTCTCCCATGGCTCCCAAATTCAGTTCTTGATGCCATCACTGCAGGCAGTTCCCAATCTTGTGTGACTGCACTTGGCATGGGAGGAGGATCCAGTATCTACACATACATACCTGCAAAGCACTTATACACATAAACTTTAGAAAACAGTAAAAGGAGCCTGGTGGTGGTGGTGGTGGTGGTGGTGGTGGTGGTGGTGGTGGTGGTGCACACCGTTAATCCTAGTACTCAGGAGGCAGAGACAGGAGGATCTCTGTGAGTTCAAGGCTAGCCTGGTCTACAGAGCGAGTTCCAGGACAGCCTCCAAAGCTACAGAGAAACCCTGTCTGGAGAGGGGGAAAAAAAGCGGTGAAAGCTAACATGATTCTGGAAATTTGTAAGTACATCAAGTCCCTGTCCCTTCAGGTGGTGATCTTTGTGAAGTCTGTGCAGCGGTGCATCGCCCTGGCCCAACTTCTGGTGGAACAGAACTTCCCAGCCATTGCTATCCACCGTGGGATGCCCCAGGAGGAGAGGTGAGTTAGAACCAGTATTTGTGCTCTGGGAAGGAAAGGGTGTGGTGAGAAGGGAATCTCAACTGTCTCCTTTCCTTCCTCACAAAGGCTCTCTCGGTATCAGCAGTTCAAGGATTTCCAACGGCGGATTCTTGTGGCTACCAACCTGTTTGGCCGAGGCATGGACATTGAGCGTGTGAACATTGCCTTCAACTATGACATGCCAGAGGACTCAGACACCTACCTGCATCGGGTAAGCTGCCCACCATCCTCACCTCACTTCCTATGTGTGCGCATGCCCTCATGCACATGCTGTCCACTTCCTTCTGTATTTCTGTCTCCTCCTTGAGGCATGTGATCTTCCTTTTGTCTCCTTGCAGGTGGCCAGAGCAGGCCGGTTTGGTACCAAGGGCTTGGCCATCACTTTTGTGTCAGATGAGAACGATGCTAAGATCCTCAATGATGTTCAGGACCGCTTTGAGGTCAACATCAGTGAGCTCCCCGATGAGATCGACATCTCCTCCTACAGTGAGTGCACCCTTACCATGTTGCATGCCCTTTGGTTTTGTGTTTTAGCTTTTAGCTGCATGTGTGCGTGCACACACATACCACAACATAAGTAGAGATCAGAGGACATTCTTTACTGTCCTCTACCCTGTAGGTTTCCCAGTGTAAACTCAGGTTGTTAGGGTTGGTGACAAGCACATTTACCCATGAAGAATCTTGTTGAATTCTGCTGCCTCTTTGCTCATGTAAACCACCTCTGGGTAGTGGCCCCTGGTGCTGGCTGCCCTCCTGGAGTTTTCATACTACTGTGAGGGACCTTTCTGTGGGGTCTTTTTCCCAGTTTTTTTTCTCCACTTCCAACATACTCCACCTGAATCTACAACAGGGAGTATGGGGGGCGGTGTATGGGTGTGTGAGCGTATGTATGTGTGTGTCCTGAACCTGTGACACAGTTGTGAGAGGAAGAGAGATTGAAATTTACTTAATCTTGAGTCCTATTGTAACTGCTGGTGTTTTTCTTCAGTTGAACAGACACGGTAGAGGAGAGGAGTGACCCACTCTGGACTGTGGCCATCTGTCTCATTAGAAGATTCCAGGGATCAGGGTGGAGACGCATTGCCCCCGCCAGCCTTCATCCAATCCTGTCCAAGCTTCCCTCTGCGTCACCACCACTCCTAACCCTGTTCCTGATTTATGATAGTTGTTTGTTTGTTTGTTTTTTTAACAAAACTAAGAATGAAACAATTGTGTGGTGTTTGTAGCAAGTGCTCCGCCTATTACTGTCTAGGGCTTAATTGGGAGCCTTGTGGGCAGGGTTGAAGTAAGGGTGGGATAGCTGCCTTCTCTTCCTGGTGTCCCTCCTGTTCTAAAGGTGAGTGAGGATGGGACAAGGTCCATGTCCCAGCATCTCATCTGCTCCTTGAGTTTTCAAGTACCAGGGCCTGTGCATCCCTGGCACCCTACACTTCTAAGCAGGGCCTGGTGTTGCTCTAGCATCTCCTTCCCTGGGCCAGCTTAACTGTGTAGAGAGGCTGGGGTCCCTGGGTGGGGAACCCTGAAAGACAGCCTGAACCAGGGCAGAGACCTGAAGCCTTCTATTTCTCTGTTTTGATCTGAGTTCAAAAGGTGAGATTTCTTTCTTGGCAAGGTCACTGGGATCCCTGGAGGGATGGGGGCAGAAGGTGTCAGGTGGGAGTGTAACAGGCTAGAGTGAGCACCATGATAGCTGCCTAGCAGCTTCCGGGCCATGCCTGGATAAAGCACTTGACCACAACCCTGCCTGTTCTGTCCAGGGAGAGACTGGGACTTGATTGCTGGTTTGAGATTTCAGGTCCTGGTAGTTCAGTTGCTTTAGCATGCTGGTGTACAGCCAGCCTCCTCACACTAGCAGACAGGCATTCTGAGAGGGTGCTCACACCCCGGTCTACCTCACTAAAAGGCTCCTGCTGTCCTGCCTCAACTACTGCTTCTTCCATGCTCCCAGAGTGACCATTTTCCCCTGCTGCACTGCGTTGTCTAAGGAACTTCTGTAGTAGGTCTGGGCACGACAGTAGTGTGTCAAGCAGTCCTCAGTTGCTGAGTCCTCTGCACGTATACAAAAGTCCTGTCCACATGGGCCTGTGTAAGAGTGCTGGTTTTCTCTAGCACTAGGGAGTTCCCAGGAATCTTCATAGATGACCCTAGCTAATAATTAGGCAATAATAAAGAGGGTACCTTAACTGCCTTTCCCTTATATTCAGGTTAATGACTACCTTAATTGCCATCATAGAGCCTTCATCAAGTAACTAGCAGATGCAGAGATCCACAGCTAAGCACTGGGCCAAACTGGAGTCCAGTCATAGGCAGGAGTAATAATATGAGCAAAGTGCACAAGACTGATGGGGAAACCCAGAGACAGGTGATCCGAGCAAGTGGGAGTTTAAACTCCAGACCGACACTGGGGAACTGCTTAAGACTAAACCAGGCCCCCTGATGTGTCAGTTGTGGGGCTTGGGTAGTATATGGGGCTACTGGCAGTAGAACCAGTATTTATCCCTAGGGCATGAATGGATTTTTTTGGAGCCCATTCCCTATAGAGGGATACTCTGCCTAGATACAGGGAGGAGGCCCTTGGTCCTGCCCCAAATGGTATGACAGACAGGTGATTTTTCCATGGGCTTCCTCATGGGAGCAGATGGGGGTGGTTTGGGGGGCTGGTAGGAGTGGGAGGACAGGAAGGAGAGGGAGCTGGGATTGGTATTTAAAATAAGATTGACTTTAAAAGAAAAAAAAAAAGATGCTGGTTTTCTTGTGATTGGGAGACCCAGTGTGCAGGTGTGGCTCAGAAAGGACAGATGGTATTACTCTTGTTCACCTGGGGAAATGGATGTGTTCAGAAAAAATGTGCCTCAGAATGAAGGCTTACTGGGGAGGAGCACCTGGACACCCCCATAGTTTGGTATCCATCCCTGCATTTCTCTGTACTCTGAATTGGCAAGGACTGTCTCTGCACAGAAGAGCAGTCCAAGACTTAGTTGGAGAGTCTTTGCCCAGGTCAGGGCCTTCACGTGAGGCTAGGGTGCTTTAGATAAGGCCACATGCTTCAATGTCTGTTAGGTTCTTTGTTTTTTTCAGATTATGTGTGTGTGTTTTGAGAGCATGTATGTAAAATGTACCACACAATGTCCATGGAGCCCAGACTAGGGCATTGGGTCCTGGGTCCTGTGGAACTGGAGTTAGAGATGGCTGTGAGCCAGCTGACACGGGAACTAGACATTAAACCTGGGTCCTCTGCAAGAGCTGCTAGTGTTCTTACCACTTAACCCTCTCTCCTGCTTGAGATCCCCATTTCTGAAGAGATTTGGCCAAATCCTGGTAGGAGATGTTCACAGAGAAAGCCAGAAAACTCTAGACAAGCCTTGCTACCCACTCAGTTACCATTAGAGTACCCTGTTTGCCCAGTCACGTATGTGCTAGATAGTTTTATGTCGACACACGCAAAAGTCATCTGAACCTCAATTAAGAAAACGCATCCAGAAGATGAGGCTATTGGTCAGCCTGTAGGGCATTTTCTTTCTTTTTGTTTGAGACAGGTATAGATAGCTCTGGCTATCCTGGACCGGGATGGCTTTAATCTCACAAAGCTCCACCTGCCTCTGCCTCTCTCTAGTGCAGGGATTAAAGGCATACACCACCATCGCCTGTCAGGCATTTTCTTATTTAGTGATTTATGAAGGAGGATCTAGCCCATCATGGTTGGTGCTATCCTGGAACAGGTGGTCCTTGGTTCTGTAAGAAAGCAGGATGAGACCTGGGCGTGGTGGTCCACATGTTTAGCCCTAGCACTTGAGAGGCTGAGGCAGGCAGACCTCTTTGAGTTCAAGGACAGGCTGGACTACAGAGTGAGTTCCAGGACAGCCAGGGCTACACAGAGAAACACAACCCTGTCTTGGAAAAACACAGGGTGGAAAATAAAAGCAGTCTGAACAAACTGGTGAGCAAGGCAATAAGCAGCAATCTCCATGGCCTCTGCATCAGCTCCTGCCTCCAGGTTCCTGCCCTGTGTGACTTCTGTCTTGAGTTCCTTTAGGATGATCAAAAGTGCTGTGTAAGTCAGCTGAACAGACCTTTTCCTCCCCAAGTATCTTTGGTCACTGTGTTTCATCACAGCATTATAAACCCTGACTAGGACATGTCCCTGTAGATTTAGTTACCCAGTAAAATGAGAGGTGGGTGTCTAACAAGAGTTCCTAAGAATTAAATCCTGTAACCAATGCAACACCTTAGCTCTTCCAAAACACCAATGCAGCTGCTGCCCTCTTCCAACCACCTCTAGAAATTTCTTACAGGTGGTGACTGCAATAGGAGTTAATGAGCCCCTTGATCTATCTCAGAAAGCAGCAGATAATGGGGCTGGAGATGTGGCTCAATGGTTAAAAGCGCTGGCTGCTGTTACAGAAGACATGAATTTGGTTCCTAGCATCCACATAGCTGCTTAAAATCATCTGTAATTCAAGTTCCAGGGGATCTGTCACTGCCTTATGGCCTCCACAGACAGTGTACATGTGTACATGTGCACAGACATACACACAAAATACTCATACACAAAGTAAAAATAAACTAGAAACAATCCAGACGGTGTCTTCCGTGGGTAATGTTGCTGACAGCACATAACCAATTACACATACAGGTTTGCTTCCTGTGGTGGCTAATCTTATCAGTGTGCTACACCTGTGGAGAGTGAGCCTCATCTGAGGAATTGCTGCCATCAGATTGGCCTGTGGGTATGTTTGTGAGCATTTTCTTGATTGATGGTTTGTAGAGAGCAGATGAAGCCGTGAGTGAGGGATCGAATGAATGTGTTTTTTGGCATGGGCATGGCCCGTTAAGGACTTCAAGAACAATAACCAATACCAATCGGGGCCTGGCTCATGAGGGATGGTATTGTTTGATGTTTTTGCTCTTTGACCTTTTTGGGGGGCCCACCATCCAGCTCCCAAGTAAATCACACACAGAGGCTTATTCTTAGTGTGAGTGCCTGGCCTTAGCTTGTTTCTAGCTATCTTTTCTTATCTTAGTAACCCGTCTACCTTTTCCCTTTGGGCTTTTGTCTTTCTTTTCTTTTTACTCCATGGCTGGCTGGGTGACTGAGTGGCTGGTTCCTGTCTTTCTCCTTTCCTTGTTCTCTTGCTATTTCTCCTTGTTTCTCCTATTTATAACTCTGCCTCCTATCCTTGCCTATCCTTGCTCCTACTTCATTATTGGCTGTTCAGCTCTTTATTAGGACCACCAGGTGTTTTAGACAGGCACAGCAACACAGTTTGAGTTAAACAAATGCAGCATAAACAAAAGTCACACACCTGAAAATGATATTCCCCCACAGGATGGCAAAGCTTTCCAAGTATGAGTGTCTATGAACTGTTGATCAATGTGTTCAAAGATTACCAGCTGTGGCTTCCTGCTCCTAGATATTTGTAGCCTGAGACTACTCACCTACAGAGACCTTGTGTAACAAGATTGCTAAACCCTCCCTCCACCATACCTTAAACTTGTGAAGGTTCCAGATTGTGGAGGTGTCGGTAGCATTAGAGAAACACACCATATACCAGCTTCATTGTGTGTGTGTCTGTCCTTCATTCCCTCACTACCCCTAGCCAGGGTTCTAGGATCAGATCAATGGGTGCTACATGGATGGATATAGGATGGCCTAGCTCACTGTGGACACTCCCATCCTTAGGCAGCTGTGCCTGGGTTGTACAAAAAGCAGCTTACCCAGGAAGCCAGTGAGAGCCAGCCAGTGAGCATGTCTCATGGTCTCTCCTTCAGTTTCTGCCTCCAGCTGCAAGGATGGGCTGTAACCTGCAAGCCAAATAAACCCTTTCCACTCCAAGATGCTGTAGGTCACAGTGTGTGTCCCAGCAAAGAAAGCAAAGTAGGATAGCATCTGATGGCTAGTTGAATTGCAATGGTCATTCAGGGTTTCTATTGCTGCAATGAAACACCAGGACCAAAAACCAAGATGAGGAGGAAAGGTTTTGTTCAGCTTACACTTCCATCATCTAAGGAAGTCAGGACAGGAACTCACACAGGGCAGGAACCTGGAAGCAAAAGCTGATGCAGATGTCATGGATGGGTGCTGCTTACTGGCTTGTTCCTCATGGCTTGTTCAGCCTGCATTTTCATAGAATCCAGGACCACCAGCCTAGGGATGGAACCACCCACAACAGGCTGGGCCCTCCCCCCAACCCCTCATTGATTGCTAATTGAGAAAATGCCTTACAG